CAATTTGGCCACCAACAACTCAGAATAACATCTCCGCAACAGAAAGGGTGCAGAGGAAATATGTTAAATAAATACATTTTCTAGAATTTGGGCATTATCCTCCTAGAGGAAGTGATTACTATCATGCGTTACTTCAGCGTTATGATCTCAGTTCACTCGAATCAAGATGACAACTTGCTGCTTGGTCGTGTGACAGCACCTGAAGTCCTATGTCGATTAAATTTCCGAGTGCCAAGAATGGAGTCCAGGAGCACTAACACTTTCTTACCGCATAGGAGTAACACCAATTGGAGCCTACATTCGCCTATCAATAGAATCATGCGCGCTGGCGATTTTGTAGAAAATACACTGACCGGCAAAAAAACCGGCCACTAAAATGTAGCCACAATTTCAAAGCTGGCTTACTCGCGAACCACTCATTCGTTTTTGATGATTCTTTTTTTCATCGAAAGGTTGATTCTTCTGTAATAATCCTGCGATAGAAATTTTTATTCGAATATTAATTTGAGCATATACGGGGTGCAAGAATGAGAAAACCTTTTTTTCTCGAAATTTGTAATACCCTGTGGGGTGCAGCTGCTACAGCAGAGGGTGTTAACTGGAATCAAACGGTAGCCCAATCTTTTCGGAGCATTTTGTTTTTTTATTCACTCTATTATCTCTGTTACTAACGAAGATGCAGTATTTTAAAGCGATCGCCTTTGTAAACAAGACGAGTGACAATAGTAGCTGATGACCGTTTTATTGTTCTAAGCAATCGTAGAACGACAGCTGTAGAAGTTCGGTGTCGTCTTCAAATGGTGCATGTTGTTGATGTCAGTAAGAGAACCATTCGCTGAAAACTTGCTAGATGTGGTCTCGCTGCAAGAAGGCTGCCAAAGGACCGAGGCTGCTTCCAAGATATCTACGCGCTTACATGTAAATTGGGAGATCGAGCAATGGAGGAAAGTCCTTTTTACGGAGGAGTAGTGGTTTTGTCTATCACCCGATGGTCGATGATCGAATATGAAGACGTTGAAATGAAAGATTTGTGGACTATACAATTATGAAACGCGAATGTTTCGATGGTGGTTCTGTGATGGTGTGGTCGGGAATTTACAATGAAGCCTATACAGATTTTTAATCTTTGTTAAAAGTGGCGCCTTAAATCACTGACCTTGAAAACAAAAACTGGGCACACGAAACAGTTTTGCAGAAGCACTTACATTTTCTTAGAATTACCGAATTACGTACGTCCTTCATTATTGTAAACAGCTGTTGACAAATAAACAAGAAAACAAACTTAATATAATGTAACAATTAATAATAACACGAAAATTAATAGCGTGTGTGCCCCCCAGAAGCTAAAATAACCTCATGTAGTCGACGCGGCATCAAACTGATTAGGTTCGTAATTGATTCCTGAGGAATTGCGGCAAACTCTTTTTCAAAAGCAATTCCTAACTCTTGAAGGTTGTCCGGTAGGACAGGACGACGAATGCGCCTCTCAAGTTGGTCCCAAAGATATTCGATAGGGTTAAGGTCCGGGCTGCACGCTAGCCACTCTATCCGTTCAATACCCTACTTCATCAAGAACCACACGTGCTACGTGCGTAGCGCATTGTCATGCAATAGCATGAATCCGTCACCAATAAAATGGGAATAGAACCTCCATGGAAAGGTACTCTTTCCGAAATTGTGCAGGTCGCAAATCTTTCATTACGACGTCTCCACACTCATTCTTGACCATCAGGTGACCGGAGACAAAATCGGGACTCATCAGTGAAGAGCACCTTACCCCATTGTTCCATTCCCTAATTCATATGTACGCACCCAAATTGAAGACGTGGTCGCCGATGTCTCTGGAGCAGCCGAGGTCTTTTGGCAGGTCTTCTTGCAGTCAGATCACTTTTATCAAGTCTTTGATGAATAGTTCTTTCACTTACGTCAACCCCACGCACCATTTGAAGACGATGCCGAGTTTCTACAGCTGTCGTTCTATGATTCCTCAGAGTGTTTAAGAACAATAAATCGGTGATCAACTGCTGTTGTCACTCGTCTTCTACCGAAACCTTGTCGCCTAGTGAAATTTGCTGTTTCCACATATTGGTTCCTGGCATCCTGAACTGTTGTTCGGGGTATACCCAACGTATGGGCAACGTATTGCTGACTTTTGCCATCCTCAATTAAAGTAACAATACGCGCAACATCAGTTACTGACAACTAATTGCTATTATGTTAAAAGACTGTAAAAAACTTTAACAACTGTCAATTTACTATTCGAAACAAATGACATACGCTACCTAGCGCGCCACCTTAGATTTTTTATGCTTGTTTGTCTTGTTTTTACAGGCGTTCGCTTTAAAACACTGCATCTTCGTTAGTAATAGAGATAATAGAGTAAATAAAATATATATTATGGCCTTATATTTCTGCCTAAACTTTTGGTGTCCACTGTTCTGAACATAATTCTTTTTCATGGCTTTAAATCGCCAGGATTGTGGCTAATAATTCGTCGCGATGACCAGACGATGTACGAGAACTTTATAGAAGTAATTCTACGTTTAGATGCATCTGTTCACTTTATTTTATTTAATGGTGTTCTCTTATTGAAGCATACTATCGAGTTTATAGGTTTTCCAATTGTTAGAAACTAATTTAGACAATTTTGCCACATTATCAAATCTTTACCCTCACTTCCAAAACTATCTTATTCTTTTATGTATCCAAGAAATTTGAAATAAAGTAATTGCATTTTAAATATAATTTTGAAACGTGCAATTTCGTTGGGTTTTAGTGCTTATAAATCATAAGCGGGGGCGCCGGCGATACGCTACCCACATAAAACCGCCGAAACGCACTATTTTAAAGGCCTGTATATTATTCCTGGACATTCCGAGACTCTCGCCTACTAAGTATACCTTATACCCGACGCAGACCAGAAACTTCTAATATCCGACTTCTTCCGATATACCCTTTTACTTATTTATCTACTCGCGCGAGTGTTTTGCTCCGCAACGGTTACGGTCGACAATATTTCCTTGCGAAAATAAACGGTCCCACGCGTTTCGAAGAAACTTCAAAAAGATTTAAATTTAAATCAAAAGATTGCAAAGTTGATGGTTTTAATTCTTTTTGGCCAAGTTAAAGTGAAATAGAGATATTCTCGATTTTCAAATCTCTCATTCATTGATTGAAACGAATTGATTTATTTTGTTGTCTAACATTGTAGATGTTACAAGTTTTAGTTTAACTTAATCTTTAAAGCCTTATAACGTTGGGTTAACGAACCCGTTGAAATTTCATTCAGGAAAAAGCCAGCGCCGCCGCTGCTGCCGTGCAGATACGAACCCATAGACCAAACAATAACAGTTTTAATCGCGGATTTCGCTTACGAAGGTGTTTCAAACCGCGACCCGAGTCTTAAAAAAAATTTCTTTTTTAACTCAAGTTACCTGACACGGTTGTTTTCTAAAAGATAACTTAATCTCTATAATATAACAATTTAATAAACATTTTTAATCAATAATTTGTATTAATACATTTTAGATTCGAAAATATAGAAATCGTTTCTTTTTGGGTACGTATTAAAATAAGTAAGCTGTGTGTACATACATAAGCAATAAAAAGGAATGAAACGAAGGAAATGTTTGGCCAATGTTCAAGTATCGTATAAAAGTCAAGGTGTTAAGTTACAACCACTTCATAAACCAAGTTTAGGATTTGCTTCCTTTATGTTTTAATTTCGGTACTTAAAAATTTATATTAAAACTAACATTCTTGTTTCTTATATTTATATACAACACATAAAACAGTTTAACTTAAAAAAAATAATGTTCTGGAATGAAGTCCTTTTAAAGTAAAAGATTTACGAACGCGCGATAAAATCAGCAATGTTAGATACCAATAGACGCATTCTAATTCGAAATCGTTACGTACGTTTGCCGGTTAAACTGGCGATCGAAATCCGCATAAACATGCAGTTAAAACCCACGCGTTTTCTCTGGCGCGAATAATCGTCGAACTCAAAGTGTTAATCCCGTCAGCCGTATAAGGCGTCAATCACCAATTTAAAAACTAGAAATTGCTCTCTTCTATCTTTTATCTAGTTAAGTTATGTACTTAACAACGAAACGTATCGGTATAATACAAAGTTCGTGGTATATATACATATGGAGACGGTAATATCTCTATCAGAGAAACGGATGGTGAACAATTGACTGGCTTAGAAACCAGAACCCGTAATGGAACACAACCGTAGTTGATGGAAGAACGGTTCTGTTATGCAAATGGTCGATGTTGGTTCGTGTTGCACCGTTGACGAAGAAGAACGTTTTAAATCTTTCGTAGATTAAACATATTGATTTGTTTCTTTGTCAACCTAGCTTTATTATGTAACGTTATAATTGAGTCTTGGGATGGTTTTTGTTGTTACTAGTTTAAAACGAAAAGAGCATTAATAATCCAATTTATTGGCAATAATTTTGATAATGTTGGTGCTTTGAACTCGTCCAATAAGTTTAAACTGACTGTTTGTGTAAGTTTAAACTGTTCATATGTCCCAATAGAAAATAATCTCAAAAGGTGAGATTATAATAATAATAAACTTTCTTGTTATGAAACAAATAGCATATGCAGCGTTGTTAAATACCCGAGTACTTATTTTCAAGGGTAAATTTAGTGGGTAGAAAATACCCGGCGCTTATTAAATGATGTGTATATTCTCCAAATATCGATTAAATCGGGGAATCCCCTGTATACCTCTCGAGTAGAGTGTAACAGAAGTACCTATGCTCAGGCGATATTATTATACCGTTCTCGATCAGTGCTAGGGTCTCATTTATGCGAAGTGGACCATTTTATTTCTGTGTTTTGTGTCTTTTATTAGTTTTTGGTGAATTGTGGTTATTATTGAACAGTTGTCGCATTATTTCAATTTTATCAGTTCGAGTTCCAGTAAGTTAAAATTATAACAAATGAAGTAACTATAGTTTATTGGCATATCAGTATTGCAGTAGATAATGGATTCTCAGCCAGGGCCATCAAATATCAGTAAATGGGTGGATAGAAGGCCTTTAACTAAAAAAGATCTAGAAGAGGAAATAAGGAAAATAATGGAGGAGGAGAGTGATGACAATGAAATTCCACCAACTGAATCAGATAGTGAAGTTGACCACATTTCAGTAAGCGACCATCTTACCGACACTGACGCAGACGAACCATCAGAAGATGAAGGCAATTTTTACGAATCAAGCTTGGCAGGTACTCCATCTTCTCACTTTTATCTGGGGAAAGATGGTACACGTTGGTCCAAACAACATCCACCAATAAATGTAAGGACTAGAGCCCATAATTTAGTGACCCATCTACCGGGACCGAAAGGAAAAGCAAAGGATGCAACTACTCCTTTTGAAGGTTGGAATTGTATGATTTCTGATAATATGATAAACCATATTGTCAGATATACCAACATATACATAGATTTGTCGCGAGGAAAATTTGTTAGGGAGAGAGATGCCGCTCCTACAGACCAACGAGAGATGAAAGCACTTTTCGGTTTGCTGTACTACGCTGGGGTACTGAAGTCTGGGAGACTCAATACATTGGAATTGTGGGAAAAAGATGGATCTGGTGTGGACATATTTCCAGCCGTCATGTCTCGAAAACGCTTTTTATTTTTACTCACTTCTTTACGTTTTGATGACATACGTGATAGGCACACCAGACGACAAAGTGACAAACTGGCTCCCATACGTGAACTCTCAGAATTATTTAAAAACAACATTCAAAGCTCCTATGTTATTAGTGAGTATGCCACAATAGACGAAAAATTGGAACCTTTTAGGGGAAGATGCTCGTTTAGGCAGTACATAAAGAGTAAGCCAGCAAGATATGGCATAAAAATTTTTCTTTTGACTGACAGTCGTACATACTATACGAACAACTTTGAAATATATGCTGGTAAGCAACCGGAAGGTGAGTACAAGTTACAAAATGATCCTTATTCAGTCGTATGCCGTCTCATCAAACCAATTGAAAAAACTGGCCGAAACATAACAATGGACAATTGGTTTATGAGTATAAAGCTAATGAATGATCTTTTGAAAAATCATCGCTTGACCTGTGTTGGAACTATCCGAAAAAATAAAAGGGAAGTACCAACTGCATTTGTCACTCCAAAAAATCGGTCTGAATATTCTAGTTTATTTGCGTTCTCGGAAAATAAAACAGTAGTTTCATATTGCCCTAAGAAAGGTAAAGTAGTTTTGGTGGGTTCAACTATGCATAACGATGACTGTATCAACAGTGAATCTGAAAAGCAAAAACCTGAAATAATAGAGTTCTACAATTTGACTAAGGGTGGAGTCGATACTGTCGATACTGTCGAATATAATCCACATAATTATGTGGATTATATTCTGTATCCAGGAGGTCGCAAAGGTGGCCACTAACTATATTTTTTGGTTTTCTGAATATTGCGGCGATAAATGCTTACATTGTTTATAAAAGCAACAAGCAGGAACAAATTGCCCGAAGAGTATTCTTGAAAAACTTGGCAAAAGAACTAGTAAGAGAACATTTACGGTATAGGTCCACTATTGTCTCGCTACCCAGTGACATAAAAACAAGGATAATGCTTTTAATTCCACAAAATGAACAGGAAGAATTTCTTCCAGCGAAGCGCCAGAAAGTATTGTCGGGAAGGTGTCAAGTTTGCTCAGGCCGCAAAGACAGAAAAACTAAAACATGCTGTAGTGCGTGTAATAAACTCATATGCCGAGAACATTCTATACCAATTTGCCAAGGCTGTTTCGCAAATAAGGTTGTCCCCGTTCTGAAAGAAGATGAAGAACTGGAAGAAGAGGATGTCTAGGTCATTTTATCATTTTTTTATTATTTTTTTTTGTTCAGTCTCATCATGTGTTGATTTGGTTTTATTGAGTACAATTTTAAGTTCATTTATTTTAAATATGTCACAAATAGAGTTTATAAGTTCAGTTACACAATCCATTGTTTTATTTCCCGAAAGATGACTCAAATATCTATACTTATACCCAAAATATTTATAAAAATCAAATATCGGGTAAAAACTACCCGACGCGCGTTTTAACGTGAGAGCCAGAGGCGCGCGTCCTCTCGGGTTAAAATTAATTTAAATTGAGTTGATGGCAGTTTTGCAAGCACTTCACGAATGCAGAGTCGATTATCGATATACCAAACTTATTTATAACATCTACAAGAATGCNAAAAACTACCCGACGCGCGTTTTAACGTGAGAGCCAGAGGCGCGCGTCCTCTCGGGTTAAAATTAATTTAAATTGAGTTGATGGCAGTTTTGCAAGCACTTCACGAATGCAGAGTCGATTATCGATATACCAAACTTATTTATAACATCTACAAGAATACTACAATGACGGTAAAATTGCATAAAAGTACTGAAGAGAGTAAAAGCAGTAAAGTACTGATTGTAAGTAAAACAAGGCGAGACACTGTTGAACCCAAATTGTTCATCACAGTCGTCAGAGTGCATTTAAACAACTGGATTGGACCCAAAAAGGCATAAACATTGATTGCAAATGCTTAAGTAATTTGTATTTAGTCGGTCATACTTCCTAATTCCATTTTGTATTTTCTGTATACGATAAGACGTATCGCAGCGTGGTAAGTTGGTGCCACATAAATAAATTGTGACCAGACGTAAGCATCGCTTAATTGTTTTTTGATATGATATGACAGATATGCTCTATGAGGATATAGCTTCCTTAGATAGAAATATGCTTTCTTTATATAATCATTAATCTGCCTACGATATCTAAAGCTATTATCAAGAGTTAGACCCAAGCACTTCACACTATCTAGGCGCTGCAAAGATGTATCTCCACATTATGACTCCCGCTATGATAAAATGCTTGATATATTTAGCATACATATTAATGTTGGAAGAGGTCAATCGGGTAGCAAATCTAGAAGTATAGAGTGCAAAAAGAAGCAGCCCCAAGACAGAACTCTGCGGAACACAAGAACCTACCAATAACTTCTTGCGATACCCGACCACCAACTCTTACCTTTTATGTTCTACCTGTTAAATAGTTATCTTTTAGTGCCACAGCACTTTGACCCAGTTTCAATAACCTCACTATGCGACAAAGTAATGTATGATCAATGGTGTCGAATGCGTTAGAGAAGTCCAAGAGTACCACCGCTGTTAGCATACCCTTATCAGCCGCACCCAAAACATCATCAGTGAATTTAGCATAGCTGTAGTGCAACTATGATCTGCACGAAAACCGGATTGCTGAACTGATAACAAGCTGTTCTGTTCCATATAAGGGATTAATTGATTTTTCATGATTTTTTCTAAGATCTTAGACATAGTTGGCAAAATACTGATCGGACGCAAGCTCCCATAACCAACTATATTCTTTTTCTTTGGTAATGGAAGTATAACTGCTTTGTGAACTTGTATAACCGTAAAGAAGCATGAATGTCAAAATGATTAATTATTTGTTGAGTAAAGTAGCAAACTTTGTCATTTACATCCTGCATATAAAATATTTTGTTGAAGGCTCTATTACTTTAGATCACACGATTGTAGAGCGTAATTTAGAGGATTATTATTTAAATAAAATTGGGCTCATTAATTATTTTCTGCCGTTTCCAACCTAATTGTCTTCTTCAACCTGATTGTGTCCCGAAATTGTAGTGGTCAATGTCAAAAAGTTATCAATGGACCTCTCCATTAAACGTATCGCTCCGATCAACAGCATCATTGCAAAAATATGCTCATAAAGTATGAGTATGAGTTTTTATTGATTTAATTTTGATACTGCCTAGTGGTTGCTCTTTGTTCCAAGTCAATTTTATTTGTTAACCTCGGAGATAAGCTAAAAATGAGCTTTAAAATTAAACAGTTTTGAAGGATGTCAGATTGTTTAGTTTTTGGATTGATGTAGCACAATCTTGAAAAGTATCCAAATTTTGTATCGATATGGTATCGATGTTGAGCCTCGGTCGCAAAAGATTTCGTCTTAATTAAGTCATGAAATGGTCACTTGCTTATCTCATCAGCGGAAATAGGGCCATAAGCTTTTTTTATTGACTTATTGGAAAGTTTTTGGAATGTTTTAATTTTTGATTCTGAGGCTTATTTTGAAAAAAAATAATAATAAAGTTTGAAATTACAGGGCGCGAACTCCAAAGTACGTCACTCATATTTGAGCATACGATTAGAGCGTATCAAATCAATAAAATTCCTGGCGAGAGACAATGCTACGAATCTTATGCGCTACAAGAAAACAGTAACTAACTACAAAACATAGAACGTCTGTGATTTCTTTCTTCTTACTTAAAAGGTCATCTGGAGTCGGGGGTGGGAAATTTTGAACCTTTACATTAATTATTGCAAAAATTCCACAATTTTCGAACGTAAAAACGTTACTAATCCGTCTAATTTAATTTAGATTATCGATTTTTTGAAAGTAAGTCTTTCTAATCGATTGACCGTAACGGCCCTATTGGAAGCGTTCAAGATGTGGGCCTACCGTAGGATGCTGAGAATATCATGGACAGAACATATAACCAACATGGAGATTTTGAGAAAAATGAAGAAGTACACGGAGATCCTACAAGAAGTGAAAAAAGGAAACTGCAATATATCGACCACATTATGAAAGGTCCGAAGTACGAGTTTCTGCACCTCATAATCCAGGGAAATATTGTGATGTTAAGTTCTTTAGTTTTTGGATTGATGTAGCACATCCTTGAAAAGTATCCAAGNAGGCGCTGCAAAGATGTATCTCCACATTATGACTCCCGCTATGATAAAATGCTTGATATATTTAGCATACATATTAATGTTGGAAGAGGTCAATCGGGTAGCAAATCTAGAAGTATAGAGTGCAAAAAGAAGCAGCCCCAAGACAGAACTCTGCGGAACACAAGAACCTACCAATAACTTCTTGCGATACCCGACCACCAACTCTTACCTTTTATGTTCTACCTGTTAAATAGTTATCTTTTAGTGCCACAGCACTTTGACCCAGTTTCAATAACCTCACTATGCGACAAAGTAATGTATGATCAATGGTGTCGAATGCGTTAGAGAAGTCCAAGAGTACCACCGCTGTTAGCATACCCTTATCAGCCGCACCCAAAACATCATCAGTGAATTTAGCATAGCTGTAGTGCAACTATGATCTGCACGAAAACCGGATTGCTGAACTGATAACAAGCTGTTCTGTTCCATATAAGGGATTAATTGATTTTTCATGATTTTTTCTAAGATCTTAGACATAGTTGGCAAAATACTGATCGGACGCAAGCTCCCATAACCAACTATATTCTTTTTCTTTGGTAATGGAAGTATAACTGCTTTGTGAACTTGTATAACCGTAAAGAAGCATGAATGTCAAAATGATTAATTATTTGTTGAGTAAAGTAGCAAACTTTGTCATTTACATCCTGCATATAAAATATTTTGTTGAAGGCTCTATTACTTTAGATCACACGATTGTAGAGCGTAATTTAGAGGATTATTATTTAAATAAAATTGGGCTCATTAATTATTTTCTGCCGTTTCCAACCTAATTGTCTTCTTCAACCTGATTGTGTCCCGAAATTGTAGTGGTCAATGTCAAAAAGTTATCAATGGACCTCTCCATTAAACGTATCGCTCCGATCAACAGCATCATTGCAAAAATATGCTCATAAAGTATGAGTATGAGTTTTTATTGATTTAATTTTGATACTGCCTAGTGGTTGCTCTTTGTTCCAAGTCAATTTTATTTGTTAACCTCGGAGATAAGCTAAAAATGAGCTTTAAAATTAAACAGTTTTGAAGGATGTCAGATTGTTTAGTTTTTGGATTGATGTAGCACAATCTTGAAAAGTATCCAAATTTTGTATCGATATGGTATCGATGTTGAGCCTCGGTCGCAAAAGATTTCGTCTTAATTAAGTCATGAAATGGTCACTTGCTTATCTCATCAGCGGAAATAGGGCCATAAGCTTTTTTTATTGACTTATTGGAAAGTTTTTGGAATGTTTTAATTTTTGATTCTGAGGCTTATTTTGAAAAAAAATAATAATAAAGTTTGAAATTACAGGGCGCGAACTCCAAAGTACGTCACTCATATTTGAGCATACGATTAGAGCGTATCAAATCAATAAAATTCCTGGCGAGAGACAATGCTACGAATCTTATGCGCTACAAGAAAACAGTAACTAACTACAAAACATAGAACGTCTGTGATTTCTTTCTTCTTACTTAAAAGGTCATCTGGAGTCGGGGGTGGGAAATTTTGAACCTTTACATTAATTATTGCAAAAATTCCACAATTTTCGAACGTAAAAACGTTACTAATCCGTCTAATTTAATTTAGATTATCGATTTTTTGAAAGTAAGTCTTTCTAATCGATTGACCGTAACGGCCCTATTGGAAGCGTTCAAGAT